CCCCCCCCCCCCCCCCCCCGCCAAGCACAACAGCTCCCCCCAAACCGGTCTCCCAGCCTCACTCTCCTGGCCTCACTCCCGGGGCTGGACCTGCTGTGCCCTGGAGGGCTCTTCGGGGTGGGGAAGACAAGGCCTGGGGGGCCCCACCCTCCTCCCCATGCTTCCTAAAAGTGGGGTGACCATGCAGTTTACAGTACAAGGACGCTGCGGGGGAAGGGACCTGGTTAGTATTTATGCTGTGAGAGTCCGCCCCTGCACATTCTGTTCCCTTGCCTTGCCCACCCATGCCCCCACTCCCCAAGCCTCCACCCCGACCCTGCCCCCACCACGCACCCCCAGTGGGTGGCTCCAGACTTGGCCCTGACCAGTCAGCCTCTGCAAACCCAGACATTAGGGCCCACTCTGGGACCCTCCCACTCATGTTTACCCGCCAGTGTCTCATCCCCACCCCACCTCCAAGGGCAGAGTGTGGGCCCAACTGACTCAGTTTCCCCAGGCCCAACCTTGGCTGGAGCCCCTGTGTGTGATGGAGCCGGGCTGCCCCCAGGGGCCCATGGGAGTGCATTGGGCCCTCAGGATGGGGGCTGGGGGAGACCGTGGCAGAGGCTTCATGATGGGGGTGTTGGAGCGGCTCGGTCAGGGCTGACGCCCCAGCATGGGGCGCGTGCTGGGGTGCCTCAGACCTGGCCTCGCCCTGCAGACCCAGGGTGCCCCGGGGCGGCTCCTGGATGTGTGGAGGGGCATTGTCCTGGCCTGGGCTGGGAGGGGCGGGGGGCCGGGGGGCTAGGCACCCCCCGTGTGGAGCTGTGGCTGCCTGGGCAGGCGGCCAGCACGTGCTTCCTCATGACAGGCACCGGGGTGTCATTGAGCTGCTGAGGGCAGCTGGGGCCTGCCTGTCCCCCCGAGAGCTGGAGGACGTGGGGACAGAGCTGTGCAGGTGAGGCTGCAGGCGGCGGGAGGCGGGCCCGGGGCTTCGGGGAGGGGCGGCCGCCGGCGGCGGGAGGCGGGAGGCGGGAGGCGGGCCCGGGGCTTCGGGGAGGGGCGGGAGGCGGGCCCGGGGCTTCGGGGAGGGGCGGCCGACTCCGGAGGAGGCGAGCCCACCGCGTGCCGGCCTGGCCGCTGGAGTCCGCCCTGGAGGTTGGGGCGGCTGGGGGAGGGGAGCTGACCCCGTTCTGGCCAGGCGACAGGGCTCCTGAGTGCCCTCCCCAGTGCAGGCCTCGCACTAGTGGGGGCCTGGTCCCTGTCATGGGGTAAGCAGAGCCATGCTCAGCGGCCGTCCGGCCCTGGCCCACCATCGCCCGGTGCTGGCAGGACCCTGACCTCACAGGTGCCCTGAGTGACACCCAGGCAGGCCTGGGGGGCCTGGGGTACCGGGGAGTCGAGCGTCCTGGGGGGGTCTCCGGCGGGGGTGTGGCGGTGGGCTGGGCGGGGGACAGGCCCGGGGCTGCAGAGCTCAGCTCCCTCCTCCGTCCGCTGGCCCCCCCCCCCACTCCTGCTCTGACTGGGGTCCCTCCGTGCCACCTGTCGGCTGCCCCCAGGCTGGGGCCGAGAGCCGAGGCTGGGGAGTGGAGAGAGGTGGAGGGCAGGAGAGGCTTGTCCAGGAGGCGAGGCTGGGGCACTGGGGGTTGCCGGGGTTGGGGTTGCTGGAGGCAGCCTAGGTCCGCAGCCCTGAGAAGGCAGAGCCGCTGAGCCCGGGGAGTGGGTGATGACTGGCCGGGAGTGAGGGGTGGGTGAACTGTCTGCTCACAAGAAGACCCCGAAGCTCTGGCTCTCTTGTCCCCACTGCCAGCGTCTCCCCAACCCCTATGCCTCAGTGGTCCCAGTCCCTGATGTGGGCTGGGGCCCCTCCCGCCCTGACCGTCAGTGTCCCCAGGCGGACAAGCCCCGCTGGCCAGCCCAGCCCCCACCCTTCCCAGGCGGCAGGCGAAGGTGGGCTTTCAGCTGTGATGAGGTGTTAGGGCCTCGAAAGCGAGGGCGGGGCCTGCTCACAACCACTGGCGTTGGCTCTCGAGGGACTTCCGGGCTTGGTTCAGGGTCGTGCGGCCCCGGTGGGCGGGCCTCGTTGGCTCCATGGACAGGTGGGGAAACAGGCCGAGGGGGGCGGTGGTTGCCAGGTCCCACGGCGTCCAGGACCCTGCCTGGGGTAGGGTGCAGCCACCCCAAGCTGCCTGGCTGGCTCTGGGGGCCCCTCTGCAAGGCCAGTGCGTGGGAGGCTGGCAGTGCCATCCGGCATGATTCACCCTAGAAATCACAGTGTGCCCCTGTGGGGGCTCATGCTGCTGTTTCCTGACCAGGAGGGAGTCAAAGCCCCCTCACCGGTGCCCCCAGCCCTAGTCGGCACAGCTGGTGGGTCCCTTTCCCTGCTCGGCCCCTGTGTGGGGAGTGGGTTCCTCTGAGAGGGGCGGGAGAGTGAGCAGGACCCTGCGGGGGGCCCCCCTCCTCCCTCTCTAGAGCAGGTGGGCCCCGGTCCTCTGGGCAAGGCCGGCCATGCCGCCACGCCACCTGCTAAATCCAGCCCCCCCCCCCCCACATCTGCCGCAGACTTCCCTCCTGCTGCTGGCGACCCCGCCCGGGGAGGGCTGTGTTGTGAAATACGAAGCTGGAGGGAGGCACTCCTTGTGGGGTGTGCACACGTGCGTGTGCATGCTTGGGTGAGTGCGTGCATGCTTGTGCCCTTGGCCTGAGTCACGGTCACCCCTGCTGGGTGAACCCAGACTCCAGGCCACTGGCCAGACCCCAGTGGATCCCGCACTCCGGCCCCGCTGTCCGGGCCGGTGCTGGGCGCTGCATGGGGCTGGCTTTGTGACATGCCCCCGGGGCCCCGACGGTTACTCCTCTCCTCTGCTCCCTCTCCCAGGCTGGCGTCCAGAGCAGACCTTGATGGCCTTCAGTCATGGTGGCAGGCGGGGGCTGACCTGGGCTGCCCGGGCTACGACGGGCGCAGTGCCCTGCTTGTTGTGAGTGCTCCAGGGCCCCCGCTGCCCTCTCCTAGGCCACCTCCTCCAGGAAGGCCTCCTGACAGTTCCATTGGCTTCCCCTCCTCCACCTCCCCGCCCCCAGCCCCAATGCCCACACTCCTGCTCTCCCTTCCCATCCCAGGCCCCTCCCTGCGCCCAGAGCTGTGGGGACAAGGAGTCACAGGCATGGGTGGGAAGAGCCACGGAAGGTATCCTGGTGGGTGGAGGTTGGGAGGGGGGTCAGGGGCCTGGCTGCTGGTCACATGCTCCCTCCCACAGGCAGAAGCAGCTGGGAACCTGGAAGTGGTGACCTTTCTGCAGAAGCTCCAGGGTGGGGCTGGTGCCCAGGCCCCAGGCCCAGTAAGTCCCTCTGCTCCACGCAGGACTGAAGGCTTCCCCGTAACACTGGACCCTGGCTTAGGGAATGTGTCTAAGGGCCAGTCCTGGGGTCAGAGCCAGAGAAGGCTAGGATGGGTCAAAGTCAGTTAGGCCTGCAGAGTTCTTTCTGTAGGTGGGGCACGCACTGTGTAGGGTGAGCAGCAAAGTGCCTGAAGGGAGCCGTCGGGGAGGGCTTCCCCTAGGAAGGGTTAACCTCACACCTGCCACACTCTGTCCTATCAGGCCACTCTGTGACACACCTCCTCACAGCACTGGAAGGCCCCAGCTACGGCCAAGAGGTTCCTTGAGCCTGGAGGGGCCCTCAGATCCCTCTCCTGCGTGTACCTGCCCATGCTGCCCCACCCCACGGGGCCAGCTCCCTGCATGGGGACCCCCGGGGCCGGGTGCTCCCCCACTGCCTCCCAGGGCAGGCGGGTCAGGTCCCCAGCTCACATCTCTTTCCCCCACTCCATCATCTGGCTGTCCAGAAGACTCTCCAGTCTGGCTGGATTTGCTCAGGTCCTTGGGTGCCTCCCTAGGAAAGGCTGGGCCCCACTGGTGAGGTGCCCGGGCTTGCCTGTCTGCCCTTCCCTCATACACCACCAGTGCCGCAGGAGAGAGGTCTCTTGGGAGACGTCCTATTTTCAGGAAGTGCTGCCTGGTGTCTAACCTGAAGCCGTCCTGCTGCAGCGTAAATGTGACCTGATGGAGGGACCGCAGGCACCCCATGGCTCTGACTGCGATGTGCCCCCGCTGCCGGGACTGCTTCCCTCTGTTTCCGAGACTCAGCCTGAAGGTTTTGTTGGGCAGAGTGGCAATAAAATCTCTCTGGGGACCCCTCCCTAGGTCCCTAAGCCCAGCTCCAGTGGGTCCTTCTGAGTCCCAGGACTGTGGGCATGTGTGCAGGGACTTGCGCCCAGGCTCTGGGTCCAAGGGCGCCCTGGGGGTGAGGGACACCCAGCCAGTCCTTCCTGGGACACAGCACGAGGGCGGTGTGTGAGCCGGGCGGCCCTCCCTGGCGGTCCTGCCTCCCCGTGTTTGCTCAGACAAGCTGCTCCCTCCTCCAGACAGCCTCTGCCCTAACTCCTGTGGTCTGCTCCTTCTCCTTCTCCTTCTCGAAGCTTGAAGCCCCCTCCAGGCAGCGCCCCCCCCCCACCCGCCGCACACCTGCCTCTGCCTGACTCCCCCTGTACAGACCGGACCGTCCCGTCTCTCCAGTCCTCCCGGCCCCTCCCAGTTGCCAGCTGCCTGCTGGGCAGGATTCAGTCCGGCCCCCTTGTGCCCATGGCCCCTACCTGGGGAGGCATGAGTGGGGGGACCTGTGCCGGCCCTAGGTGCCTAGTTGCGACAGCCCTGGTGGGCGGGCGGACGGCCCCGAGCCTTGTCAGAGGCCTGGCTGGGGCTGAAATCAGGTGTTTGGACCCCTGGCTGGTTCTCTGTCCAAACTATAAGCAGTCCAGTGGGGCGAGGGCACCACGGGGCTCAGGCCTGCCACCATGTGACTCTGGGCCTGGCCTGACCTGGCCAGAGGCTTCCCGATCGCCACCCCCCACCCACCCTAACACGGTTCCTGAGCCTTCTTTGCTGAGCATGGGGAGTGTGGGGGAAGGGAGAGGGGGCATGGGGGGCTGGGGGGATACCTCCGTCCAGGTTCTCCACCACCTTGAACCTCTTTCAATGCCCACGTGAGGACTCCCATCCGTCTGTCCATCTGTCTGTCTGGCCCCTGGGTTGGAGGCTTGGGAGAGCCGGGCCCAGCCTGAGGGCATGGGCCCTGCAGATGTTGGGCATGAGTGTAACCCCCAAGAGCCTGCCCTTGGCACCCAGTATGCAGCTGGGACCTCTCCCAGGTGGGCCGGGCCGGGGGTGGCTCCACCCGCAGCCCCAGGCTTCTCCGCCTGGTTCCCAGGCCTGGGCTGGCACCTTGGCTGGCAGCCTTCCAGATTCTCGCCCAGACACGGGTGTGCCTGGCCTTGCACAACCAGGGAGCACTGCATGAGCACGGCTGGGCCCGAGGAGCCTTTGCCCCACACCCTGATGAAGGCCCCATGAGTGGGGGGTGTGGGGGAGGAGGGGGGCTCAGGGCTTGCCAGCGGGGTGGCTGCTGGCGGGGGGCAGGGGGCAGGACCAGAAGCCTGGTGGAGGCAAGGAGGGAGGAGGCTGCCTCTCAGGTTCCTCGGCGGCGGAGCACCCCGTCCCCCGCGCCGCCATGTCTTCTCTGTCCCCAACACCCCGCAGCTCCCTGGAAGCACCCACCCCTTGGGCTCTGCTTGCCAGGGGTTGGGGTAGAGCCTATTGCTCGAGGCCACTCAGTACTCAGCACTTCTCTCAGACCCCAAGGAGCCCCAGATTGTGAAAGCTGCAGGTGGCTCACATCAGCCCACATGGCAGCACCCTCCCAGAGCAGGTGTCAGCCTGCCGGGGTAGAAGTCCCCCTGCGTGCTGGGTGTCCCACGGAGAGCACATGTTCACCTGGCTTTCCCCCAAGTGGGTTATTGACAGTGGGTGAGAAGCTTCCACAGCCAGGCAGGTGGGGGGGAGCTCCCCACCAGGGCTCGCGGTAGGGGGAGGCCCCCTGCACCCCCTTGTGGGACACAACCCTCCAAGGAGCAGCTCCTGGACGGGGCATGTGTCTCGGACAGCTGTGGAAAGTCACGGGCGCATGTCCGGAAACTTCCGCAGAGCCATTTTGTATTCCTGGAAAGAGGCCAGTCTTCATCTGTAAATCAGCTCCTCCGAGAATCACAGATTAGCAACGGGGGTAAAGAGCCAGTCCCCTAGGCCCCCCCCCCCACACCATGTGAGGAACAGCCACACGGGGCCAGGGTGGGAGGCTCACCTGCCATGTGCTAGCTGCGTGCGTCCCCGCCACACTCCCGAGAGCGTACTGGTTCATCTTTCCCATTTCACAGCTGAAGAAACTAAGGCCCAGTCCCGTGCTCAGGGTTGCATGTCGGCACATGGGCCTGGCACTGGGGCAGCCCCCTCGCCTCTGGAAGGTGCCACCAGGGGACATGGCACGGGGCCTGGCGTGAGATGCGGGAGCAAGGCTGGGCAGGGCAAGTGCTGGGTAGACGTGGGAGGCGCCCTGAGCCCCTGGGGTCTCTGAGGGCTCAGACTCCTTGGAGAGTTGCACTGCTCACAGCCACTAATTTCACATCGAGTGAGGGCTGGCTCCCAGCGGCCCCTCTCAAATCACTGGGAGCCCAGGCTTATCTCTGGGAAACCTCTCTCTCTCTCTCTCTCTCTCTCTCTCTCTCTCTCTCTCTCTCACCACTATCTGTGTTTACCCAGTGTTTTCCATCATAAAGTCAGACTTTCAGTCGGGCCCCCAGGCCACTCTGCTCCCAGCCACAGCTCACCTGACTTCACGGCAGGAAGTTCCCTGGCGGGGCACCCCTCAAGTGGGAGCCACAGCTTCTAGTCCTTGTCACCCTTCCGTCCCCAGCCCCTTCGGATCCGGGACACAGGGACCCGCCTCTGGATGAGGAGAGGGCACCGGGGGCTGTGCCAGGGCGCTGGGGATGGGAGAGCCGGGCTCTTCCGGCCCGCGTGGTGATGGCAGCGGCCGTGGTGATGGGAAGAAGTGCCCAAGGTCCGCTCCTGTTTCTCTGTGCCCCCCATCCCATCCCCACGCTCAGACGCTCAGGCCTGCGGACTCAGCAGGGGTGCCGGGTGTGGAGTCCTGGCTCCCCCCGCGGAGAGCTTTCGGCCTCTGAGAAGTGACGGCCCCTCGGTGAGCCTGTTTCTCCAACTACAAAATGCAAAGAATAAAACCTCTGCCACTCACGTGGCAGGGTGGTGACAGGTGAACCACACACGTGTGAAAATGCCTCGTGTCCATCATAACTTGGTGGCTGTGTCCTGGCTTGGGATCAACGGGGGTGGGGGCTCCTGGTGGGGGCTCCTGGACTAAGATGACGCTGGTCTCCCTGGGGCTGGGTGTGAGTGTGTGTGAGAGTGTGTGTGTGTGTGTGTAACCACACTGAACCTAGCTGAATGATTGTGACCAGCCACATCAGTGGCTCAGAAGGGGGGCTGGGGACTTTAGAGACACCTCTCTCCAAACTTGCTCTTTCCTAAAGCTGAAACCCCTATTAGCCCCCATTTGCCCCAGTGGGCAGCCTCCGAGAAGAGTCCCTGGAGGCCGCGGCTGGTCGGGCCCCAACATCTTCAGGTGACTAAGTGGGCAGGCCGGAGCCGATGGGGCTCGGCTGACGCATGCTGAGGGTGGGGGTTGGGCACGGCGTGGGCTGTTGGCCTGTGTGGGGGATGGGGGGCAGCATGCGGCTCCCAGAGTGGGCCCTGGGGGTGGGTGAGGGTTCCGGGCCACCCTCCTTACCCTCTGAGAGGAGCCCGGGTCTGAGAACCAGAAACCGGCTAGGCGTGTTCTCTGTCTCTCCCTCCCTCTGGCCTTCTGTCTAGTTTCACTTTCTCTTTGTTCCCCCCTCCCACGAAGTTCCCTTTGAAGTGAGAGGGGCAGGGATGGGCGTGTCCAGTCCGCGTCCTAACACCCCCCCCCCCCCCCCCGGGGAGTGCACCCGGGCTGGGGCTCCTGCCGGCTCTGGGCCGCACCTGTCCCTGCCGCCCGGCGGACCAGCTCGGCCGGTGTCACCCCCCCGCCCCCCCCCGCGGTGAGTCTGGGTGCTTGGGTCCCAGGCCCGACGGAGCGGGTGTGGTCGCCGGGCCTAGAGCGCGGAGCCCGGGACGCCAGGTGCGCCCCGGCCGGGCGCTGGAGGCGGGGACGCCGGGCGGGGCCGGGAGGCCGGTGAGTCAGGGCCACCCCCGCGCGGGCGCGCCGAGCAGGTACCCGGGCCGCGGACGACCCGCCGCGCGACCCGCCGGCCCGGGAGCCGCCCGGCCCGGAAAAACCGGTCGGGCCAGCGCGGCGCGGTCGCATTCCGGCGGCGGGGGAGGGCGGCCGCATGGCTTAAAAGGCGCCGCGGCCGCACGGACGCAGCTGCGGGGCCACGCGTGGCGCGGGCCGAGGGGACGCGCAGCCGGGGCGCCCGGGCTCGCGGGGCTCGGCGGACGGGGCTGGTGCGGCGGCGGGCCGGCGGGGCGCGGGCAGGGCTGCCGGGCGGCCGGGCTTTCTCTCCACAGCGCGGCCACCGCGGACTTCACCCGGCGCGCTGGGTCCAGTGGTTCTTAACAGTTCAACAGTTCTGTAGCGCAATTGTGAAATGTTTAGGACCACTAGACCCGGCGGGCCTGGCGGCGACAGCGACAGCATGTCCCACGCGCGGCCCGGGGACAGGGGCAGGGGCACAGCATCTGGGAGGAGCCCACCGCCCGGCTGCGTGCGCCCCGGGCCGGCCTGAGCCCCGCGGGTCCCAGCGCCCGCTCGCCGGGGCCGGGCAGCCGGGCGGTGGAGGGCGTGGCGGCGCCGGGCGCCGGGACCCGCGGGGTGCGGGCGCGCCGGCCGACCCACGCTCCTGGCACGGGGCCTACCCCGAGAAGCCCGCGCCGAGCTCCTGCGCCCGAGGGCCCCACCCTCTCGAAAGTCCGCCGAACTCCCACCGGGACCTGACGGCGGGCCCGCGGGCTGAAGGAGCGCGCCTGGCCCTCGGCTTCCCCGGAGCGGGGTCGGGGGAGCCGGGCGGGCTCGCTGGGAGCGCTGGGGCCTGCGCTGCGGGAGCTTGGGCTTCGTAGACGGAGCGCAGAGGCCT